TATATATATATATATATATAAAATCTTTTACCAGTACTTGAATTACAGGTTTAAAAGTACTTAATTAGACTCTATGATATATCATCAAATTAAATAGATGTTTAAATGATTAAAATGATCTTTAATAAATTAACAGCTGCTTTTCGTTCTTAAACTTATGTGAATCATATTCATAAAGGCACATCCTGGTATTTTCCAATTTTAAATACTCTTTATTGTTATTTAAGTGAGCAGGTTCTACAAACATGCCTCAATAGCACTGCATACTAGAGGGGTAAGTTGTCACAGTAGACCATGTCATTAAATAACCATAGTTTAAATAGTAAAATAATAATAATAAAAAATAAAAAAAAATCATAAAACACCAAAATTGGTAAGGGAAGCATTAAAAAACCCAATTGATTACACTCTAATATCAGCAAATTAAGTAGATGATTAAAATGACCATTAATAATAAATTAACAGTTGCTTTTAGTGCCTAAACGTATGTGAATCATATTCATAAAGGCATATCCTGGTATTTTCCACTTTGCTCATCATTGTCACTTAAGTGAGCAGGTTTTACTATGAGCGTAAGTTTAAGTGTAGGAAGAAGAAGTTACACATACTTCTGATGCGTCTGAGAGATTACAGCAGGATGATAAGGCATATTTTGACACAAAATTGACACTAAATTATGTATCTGTGAAGGGAGACTATGTGCGACAGTGGGTTCCAGAGCTTCGAGGTATTAAAGGTGGGGACGTTCACACGCTCCTGGACCCTCAGCAACTCAGCACTCTCACACGCCCAGGTTTCGCTCAACGAAACATACCCTTCCCGTTATCATAGCGCCCGAGTGGAGTCGGCATGTCAACAACAAATCAGTAAGATTATTAGCAACTTTACATTATTGATTGTTAGGGACAAAATTGTTAGGGCTTGTTTTCAAACAAATTACACTATTTTACTGGTTTCTTTTCAGTCTGGTCCGCCAATAAAAGGAAGGAAGGGCTCATCTTACACACCAAGACAACAAAGACAGAGGCATTGACTTCTACTTCTCCAAGAATAAGAGTTTCTAAGGAGGAGATGTAGTGGAAAAGTGGTTTTTCTGCTGGGCATCACAAATAGATGCAAGCCATCTGCTTAGGTCACAGGTTGCACAGTGGAATGAGGAAGGGGAAATGAAAAATAGTGTGGTTTTGTGTTGCTCTTTCTGAATCTGTTTTCACATGCAGGTCCAGAAACCTCTGCTCACATTCTGAAGACTTTATTACAAACTGTAACTCCGATTTTTATGTATTTGTTTTGTGTATATTGGGTTGAATACAATATTGCATTTATGGTGGTTTTAATAAATTCCTGCGAATGTCCTGGTTTAGTCAAGGATGATGAAAAGTTTTGGAGCTATACCTAAAGCTGTTATACCTAAAAATAAAAGGATTGGGATTTTTGGTGACTTTTCCCTTTCTCACATGAAACAGTGATATGATGAAAATGATAAGAAAACTGAAAAAGTTTGAATAATGTGCACATACAGAATATTTTCTTCATTTATTCAGAAATAGGAAGTGAGAAGTGCCAACTGTTTCAGTTTGGTTTTAAAAAGTGAGGGAAAACGCTGTAAAAGACAGCTGTGTGCTCAGAACGCTATGATTACTAGTAAAAAGTTGTACAATCTTTTTACATGTGCACCTTTACTTACATTTACTTTTTTTCCCCATCAGACTTCCAAGCATATTTTTTTAGACATGAATATCAAGGACTTTTCTTAGGGTTACTCCATTTGATTATTAAAAAAAAAAAAAACAGTCAAAATATGTTTCTTGTCAACAAAATTGCTTCCTGTAGTCTATGTTGGTCAAACCACCAACATTTTTTATATATATTTTAAAACAAAATTGAATCAACTAAACTGAACACAGACAATGCTGTAAACATAATTAGACAATTATTAACACAATATTCTACACACTGAACCAAAGAGCTTCTGCAAAACGGACCATTTTAAGCATTTTTCCTCCACACATCGACTTTCTATCGTAAACGTTGCGGAAATTGCCCATATTTGGTGTTGAGGCGCTGCCTTTGTAAGCAGATCTGAGATCAGTGTTTGATTAATCTCTCCAGGACCCACAAAGTCCTGACACCGCTCCTGAAGCAGCCGATCCTGCCTTGCCTTTTTTACGTAAACTTCGCGCGCTCATGACTCCATTGGCTGTACGTGTATTTCGTCATTTCTCTGACTCATGTTTTATTTTTTTTGCGAACATTTCCTCAATCTTTACTGTTGTTTAGTGTACGTATTGCAGTTCGTGATTTTGTCGTTTTTTGCAGCCTATCGGTAGCGTCAGAAAATGACACATTAAAATATTGAACTTTTTCGTATCACTTTCTCTTCTCGAGTTAAACGCGGAGATTAACAACTTGAGTTGGGTAACCGTGAGATTTTGCCATAAATATGGCATCAAAATCAAGTATAGAGTATGAGGCGATTCCAGTAACAGCTTTAAACTGCAGTTTCCGAAAGAAACTGGGGCTGTATTTGAATCCAACAAACGCAGTGGCAGCAGACTGGAGGACAGTCGCCGAAATGATGGACTTTACCTACCTGGAGATCAAAAACTTCGAGAAAAGAGAGTATCCCTTTGAAAAGGTCTTAACGGAGTGGGAAACTCGTCCAGAGGCAACCGTAGCAAATTTACTGTCGATTTTAGAAAAAGCTGAAAGGAAAGATGTCATAACAGACCTCAAAGACATTATAGGTATGTCACCCACATTTTATTTATGTTTATTTATTTAGTCATTTAGCAGACGCTTTTATCCAAAGCGACTTACAAATGAGGACAACAGAAGCAATCAATTGTAGTATTAAAACAACTAAAAACAGATCCAAAACTAAAAGCTAAAACTTTATAAATACTACCTATACACATTTAAAAAAATAAAGAGATTAAATCAAAATGACAAATGCATACAAAATTTCTAAGCTTAACATTTAAATGAAAAACAAAAAAATAAAACTAAAAACAATTCAAAATATTAAAGAACTATCAGTAATCCTAAAAAATAACACTGCCAAACACACATGCTAAAAAACAACAACTTACTTATACATAGTAAGAAATGGTTTTAAAAAACTGAAACAGAAGCGAAACAAGTAATAGGAAAGAGGAGAAATAAAAAGCGATACTTATCTTTTGCCGGTGTCCCTGGCCGGTGGAGTCGCATGGTAGAGTCGATGGTCTTTACACTCTTCGTCTTCACACGAGGAGGCCTTCACGCGACGGCTGCCATGGTAAACTAAGATTTTTTTATACCCTTCTTCTAACAAAATACTACATTAATTCAGCTGGACACATTTTCCTTATTTTCTCCACAACAAATGGCCAAGCAAGCGCAGACACTGACAAGATACGCGATACAGAACGAGACCAAACGCGATATCAGCACGTCTCCACACAGTAAACAAAATAAGCGTTTCCTAGCAAGGACAACTGCACTACACACTAATGAGACAAGTAAATACACTTATGAGCTGATTTTAACTTCTGCTGATAAAGACTGCTTCTCTCAAAGAGTATTTCTTTACACTGTTTTCTGCTGGCGCTTGAACACACTTTCCTTATTTTCTCCACAACATTGTATACAACAATTTATATTACATCATTTATATTATACTAGCCTATAATATATAAATAAACATTAAAAACGTATTTAGTATTATTACTGTTTTTATTCATATTTATATGGTTTAAATAATTAAAATGAATTAATTTAAATGCTTTATAGTCACAAATATTATTATCATCAGTATTAGTATTGTTTTTCATGTCAGTTAAAATAAGTTACAAAGAATTAACTCACAAGTAGAAAAATTAGTAAGAAATTTCACATTTTATTGCAGTTCTTGTCCACTTATTAAAACAAAAGTTGTCTATTTATTGATTATTTTTTTCTCCAAAGAATTAAGCCATATCCCCCCAAAAAAGAAGAAACAAAAATCTCCAAAGAGCATAACTGAGAAAAGAATGGCTAATTCTGAGAACAGGAGAATGTGACCATCTAACACATATGAAATGACTTTCATTATTTCGGACAACATAGAAGATCTCCAGCTAAGTGCTCTTGTATGTTGTTGGTGTTTGTGCACAGATGATGACTGCAGGAAGTATTTGGAAAGACAGATGAGGAAGCCTGTCCAGGTTCCAGTGGTGGACAGTTGTGGCCCGCGCACACAGGAGCGAGAAGGCATCACGCTGTATGATAATCCACAAGGTGAGTTTTTCCCTGTTCTGTCTGAATACACTGTGTGGAGTTAGCTGAATAGCAGATTACCAAACTAATCATTGTCTTCACTGGACAGGACTAACACCGGAGACCTTTGATGCTTTCATCTGCTATTGTCAGAGTGACTTCCAGTTTGTGCATGAGATGATCAAACAGTTGGAACAGACTGAATGCAACCTGAAGCTGTGTGTCTTTGACCGAGACGTCCTTCCTGGCGCATGTGTGTGGACCATCACCAGTGAGCTCATAGAAAAAAGGCAAGTTGGTTTGCGGTTATTTATCATCCAATGCTCATTTAAGTTAATCTTTAAAAAGAATATATAATAATAATAATAATTTAATAACACTTTTAATTGTAATATTTAGCAAATATAAAAATGAATAGCCATTCTTCATACTGTACATAACATTGCTTTTATTTATTTATTTTTAATTTGTTTAAACAAAATAGTATATAATATTAATATCAGTCATTTATTGTTTATGCTTTTGGTATTGGCCAGCAGAATTTTAATGTCTGTGCATTTATAAATTCTTGATGAAATGTCAAATATCTTTAAATGTTTGTAATTAGTTGTAATAACTTTTTTTTTTTTGCCCTTTAGGTGCAAGAGGATGGTGGTGGTCATTTCTGATGACTATCTGGACAGTGATGCATGTGATTTTCAGACTAAGTTTGCACTCAGCCTTTGCCCAGGTACAGCATTTTTCTTAATATTTATTTGAGTTGCATTGCCATTTTTATTTTTAGCTTATTAGGGCCCAAGCACTGTTCGAAGGGCCCTATTGTTCTTCTAAGATTCTTTGTCAAGGTTTTTGTTTTTGAGGCGCTTAGCATGCTTAAACCTGAAATTTGGAATGCACACCAGAGTTGTTAGCCATAAATTTTGAGTGATTTAGAGCAAACTTGAGCTGTATGTTTGGTCAAGGAGGCTGAACATATGGACATTACAATTGTAGGTAACTGTCATAGCGCCTCCTAGCAGCAGAAAGTTTGTCTTTTACAACGATTTTGAAATAGTCCTCCTATATTTACCTGCTTAAAAGCATGTGCATTGGTTTCCTAAAGATTGAGCCCACCATTACTGCTTGGAGCTATATTTCAGTCATTGAAATCTGCAGTTGTTGTGATATATCTGCTCTAAGCTGTGCTAAACAATGCATTTCATGTCATTAAAACCGAAGGATAATGCAGCTATAAAAGCAGCATAGAAACTCTTATTTCCTGTGAAGTTCCTAATATGTAACAGTTTGACTTTTGTCTCTGCTGCAGGAGCTCGCTCTAAACGTCTAATCCCTGTTGTCTACAAATCCATGAAGAGGCCTTTTCCCAGCATTCTCCGTTTTCTGACCATCTGTGATTACACCAGACCCCGCACACAGGACTGGTTCTGGATGCGATTGGCCAAAGCGCTCTCGCTGCCCTGATCTTTTCCATAAACACTGTTAAACGGGTCATGAACTGCCTTTTTTATTATTTTGTACTGTTCTCTGAGGTCCACTTATAATGTTATCAAGATTTTTACATGAAAAAACATAATTTAGAAGTAATACGGTATTTTCTGTCCTGTTTGACCCCCTCATCGGAACACTTCGTTTGAATAGGTGTGGCAGATAGTTGACTCGGAAGTTAACGCCCACCGTTATTATTGGCTAACAGTTGTGTATGTTTGACAGCCTACATCCTTCATTGGTGGACGCTGCTGTGATTTAGGTTAAATACTCAGTACATATCAAATATTTTGTTTAACAGACAATGCAATAGTGAGCACGTAATACTCACACTTGTGTGGTGCGACGTTACTGTCGGATCCAATATAGTCGGCAGACTCGGCACAGCATCGTCTTTTAGTTTCAATCTTTCTGAAAATCATGCGTAGAATTGTGCCTTGTTTATAAACAAATCCGCGGTAAAATGAACTGAACAAAGGACCAAGTTCTTACTGACGCGGTCCGGAACATTAAAAAGAAAGTTCATCTAGTGCTGGGCGGTATACCGGTTCATACCGAATACCGGTGTTTATTTTTGTTATGATATGAATTTTTAAAATACCGCAATACCGGTGTATGTCGCTTAAACAACCTTCGGAATGCGACACTGTTTGAAAGGGAACAGCTGTATGTGTTACTAAGCGTGAAAATTCCGAAACTGAAGCTGTAGAACTAATAGAACGTGATGACACAGAAGAACTCATCCACAATATCCACACTGACCACCACAAATATCCACCGCCCCCTGCCATCAGCTCCCGCATCTCACACACACACGAGCGCAACTTTAGCACTAGATTGAGCAACTTTCAGACCCTTTTAGCGGCTTTT